AGTATGGTCCACTCGGATCTCCGCATGGTCATCAGAAACAGCCTTCACCCGGGTTAGGCCAGCCTCACTATCAGAGCTGTGGACAGTATCAGTTAAATGGTAGACTAGAAGGCTCCCACCAGCCCCCTGGAGTAGGTCCTCCCAACATGCCTATGAGTGCAGGGCAGTACTGGAACAACAGCTCGCAGCATCTTAACTTTAGCTCCCATAACCTTTACGGGGCATACCAGAGTCAGACCCATCACCAGCAGCAGTCTGCACAGAGCTCCTCTTCCTCACAGCTTCACACTCAGCGCCGCCCACTCCACCCCCAGCAGCAGCACTACGGCCTCATGCCCAATGGGATGCCTTACTACCAGCACCCACCGTCCCAGCACCCGCTACCCCAACCCCAGCCACCCCAGCTCCAAAACCAGGCTCAGATTCTACCCCCTGTCGGACAGAGTTATACTCCCCCTCGTGGCAGCTCTTTACCTGTGTCTTCACCGTCTGTGAGGTCACCATCATCCACTAAAGACAGTGTTTCACCTCAGAGGCCCAGCAGAGACAGAAGTCCTGACACAAACAAAGTGGGACCATCCACTCTTATACAAGGTGTGTTCCTTTTTTCCATATATTGCATGCATCTGTTTTTGATTTGGAATTATTATATTATTTATTTGTTATCTTTTGTTAATTAAAAAAATAAATAAAATCAATTATGCTATGTGTACACTGTATATGGTCTAATTGTTAATGGAAAAAAAAATAAGTTCTTAAACTGCCTTCATTGACTAATGTTTTTATTTGATTTATTTGTATTATTTTCTTGTTGCTCAGTGCACACAGATGGTGACAAAATCTTCAGTGACACAGAAAAGCCAAGTCAGAAGAATAAAGAGGACCAACCTAAAGAAGCTTCACATACAGAAGATTATATTGTGAACTCTGAAATGCCCCCAACGCGATCTTCTGATAATCCCTCCCCAAAGAAGGAGCCAGCAACTAAAGTACCACCACCAGAGACCAGCTTTTCCCCTGTGGTTGCTTTTTCCTCTCTCCAACCCCCCCTCTCCCCAAAACCCTCTGTTCAGTCTTCAGTAGAATCAACTTCCAAACAAACAGCTCCATCACAAATGTCTCCTTCTCCAACCGATGCCCTTACACATTCCTCCACTCCTTTTAGCTCTGTTCTCGGTGGCAGAATTGAAACAATTGATGAAGCACCAACAACTATGTCCTTAGATTCTTCCAACACTGTCACTGGATCATCTCCAGGTAGATCATTTTTTTCCCCAGTGTTACAACAAGCTCAAGGTACCTCTGGTTCGCAGGTGTCCAATCCAGCTAGCTCCTCTTCTTTAGGTGTAACATCCTTGTCAACTCTTCCAACAAACCCACAAGGTTCTACAGTTCCTCAGAAGACTGCATGCTTCCCAGATTCCATAGACGGTATGCATGAGAAATTCCCATCTCAGACTTCTGCTGATTCATCTATCTCTGTTATTTCACGCGTAGAAGGACCCTCTACATTAGCACAAGCCAAGGGAACATCTCTGCAGTATGACGTAGCAAACGCACCTCCACATCCACCCCCCAGTTTAGTTAGTGCTATGCCAGTGTCTCCAACTGAAACACATAGAATTTCTTCAGCAGGAAATGATAGCTCTACAGCCCGACCTCTGTCCGCCCTACCTCGTTTAACCACTCAAGCCTCCAGGACTGCAACAGTGTCCGCTCCAGTTGACTCTGTGTCTGTACCTCACACGAAGGGTACCACATCTGGACTGATTCAAAGTTTCGAGTCTCACAATGCAACTCCGACCCAATTTCACCACCATGAAGACAGGCTAGAGCTGGTAACTTCAGATGGCTTGCATGATAGAAACATCTCACACTTAGATGCAACTGCACAAAGAATAACATATAATTTCAAAACTTCTGAGAAACCTGATCTTCCAGTACAGCATTTGCCGCCGATTATCTCTCCTGTTCACAAACCCCACGACGGGCAAACCTCAATTGACCACATGCAAAGAGCTTTTGGGTCCGAACGCTCCGCAGTTATTCAAGGTCGACTTCCTCATAGCTCAAGGATTTCATATATGTCCAATGAAGGTTCATATTTAGACAGCTCATACTTAGAAGACACAAAGAACACCTCCCTTCTTGACACCTCCGATGACCTGTCTTCTGCTTATAACACAAGAGACAATAGCTTCTCAGCCAATGAAACAAGGGATCATACTTTTGTCTCCACTGCAGGGGAGACCTCTCAGAGTTTCCTTGGAGCAGAGTCCTCTTTAAACAGTACCTCACAAATGGAAGAGCCCTCTATTGGGTCGACTGATGTGTCCATGTCACACTCGTATATGTCATCGCAGTCAGGTCATCAAGGTACAGTGTGAATGAAAGGGAATATTGTTGACTATAGGTTGCATTCACGTGACATCACAATATTTTAGAATGGCTGTAGTTTGTATTGAGTTGAAGGATGGTTCAGAATTCTGTAGTAGAATTTGACCTATGACTTTCGGATTTATATGGTTAATATCTGTAATGACTGGTCTTATCAACATGAAAAAAAACTGGCACAAAGTTCAGTGTTTTTTCTATCAGCAAGAATGAAGATGTGAAAAAAAAATTTTCACTGTAGCTTTAGCCATTATTTACACCCCACAATTTGATTGTTGCCAGTTGAAAGGATTTAAAGACATACAATTATTGTGGCAAGTTTATTTAACCAAGAATTTTTAAGGTTCAACATTGTGGATCATAAATGTTTATTTCTTTCAAAAACCATAAATCTCCCACAGAGTTAAATAGGCCCCCTGCCCTCCATCTGACATTGTATTCTAGAACATGAAGCGACCTATATTCTGGGTTATGCCTCTCAATCCCTACATAAGAATAAACCACAATGTGTCTTCCAGGTTACGTAGACCAGTGGAATCTTGATGGACATGATACTCCAGACTCCTGTGGGCGCTCCCGCATCAAGCCCTTTGGGATCATGACACCGCCTAGTTTCAGGATGAGAGATGGGTTCATGGCTTTCAGTACCCCAGCAGATGGCCCTGCCCACAACCTAATGCACGGTCAGATGAAAAGCCCAGGGAAACCACGGAAACCTCGCACCCCAAAAGGTATGTCTACACAAACTCCAGGTGCATAATATAGTATACTCATATTTCATATATATGATTACATACGCATTTTTGCACTGTGGACTTATATCTAAAAGATATTTGCAATGTTATTTGAATATGTTATTTGATATTTGAAAGATAAAAGTGACCCACATGCTCTTGACCTCACTAAATACCTATACAATTCTGCAGTAATAATAATTTTACCTGTCCTCTAGTGCGTAGTACAAAAATACAAAGTTACACTCTTCAGTTGGCAGTTTTTATTGTAATATTGATTGTTGAAATCTGATTATTCTCAGATTCACAAATTCCAGAGCAGGCACAGCGTAAGCCTAGGTCGAACACCCAAAACAAAAACAAGTGATGAAAGTGAAAACCAGCAGGACGGTGCCAAGCCGAAGATTTCCAGAAAGAGGAAAAAGAAAGAAACAGCCGAAGATGAATCTGGGGCTCCTTCTGTGTTGAGCTTGGAGGAGCTAGATTCAATCTCTGCCACTATCGACGCGGTCCTGGCCAATGTCGCCAGCCTTTGCACTGATGTTGATAAACCCAAGAAAAAAAGACGCAAGAAACAACAGCTACAAGAGGGTGGTGTTGCAGAGGAGGGGGCTAAACCAGGGGCTGAAACCACAGCTGAAATTGGCGAGGACCATGAAGATGATGGCTCTACTGCAGGTAATTTTTTATTTTTTTTTAACTTGCTTTTTGCTTTTGGTTTCATTACTTGTTATTCTACAGGAGACTCGAGTAAGCGTAGGGTTGCATCAGAGGAACAGGTTCAATTTCCTCTTCAACATGGGTAACTACGGACTTTAATCTGTTGAATACCTGCTATAGTTAATTTAATATGTGAAAAATACATATATACATGCAATACAAATCTTGTGTGTTTTTTAGTTGGCGGCGAGAGATTAGAGTTAGGAAAGTAGACAATCGTCTGCGGGGTGAAACTTGGTATTACACGCCATGTGGGAGGAGGATGAAGCAATTCCCTGAGATAATCAAGGTAGGGTCCGTGGCTGCTTATGAGAAAAATTTTAACTTTCACTATTTTAAAAATGTCTTCCTCATAATCTGTTCTAGTATTTGAAGAAACACCAGGACAGCGTGGTGAGCAGAGAGCATTTCAGCTTTAGTCCTCGTATGCCAGTGGGAGACTTCTATGAGGAGAGAGAAACTCCTGAAGTGGGTACAGACTTGTGTTTTTGTCAGAAACTGTCAGAACAAAGTGTAAGCTTCTTTGTCTCTCAGGGTGTGAAGTGGGAGCTCTTGGCTAATGAGGAAGTGCCCTCTACCATCATGGCTATCACTGGTCGCCGTGGTCGCCCTCCAAACCCTGATAAAGAAAAACGCAAATCCACCGATGGGCCACCCCGTCGCCCTGGGAGACCTCCTAAACCCAAGATGATCGACTTTCTCAGCAAAGCTGACGCCAAACTACTCACACAACTTGAGGCCAAGGGTAAGTCAGAATACTACATAGTGAAGACAGGCCTTCCTGTACGATGAGCTCTGACATAGTTGTGCTTTGTAGATACTCTAACTGATGAGGATAAGAAAACAATTGCCAAAATCAAAAAGAAGATGAAAAGAAAGGTATATTTGAGATTAATCCGATTTAGTAAATAATTAAAATAAATTATTCTAATCTTTCGCTTGTCCTTGTTACCCTTTAGGCCAGAATGAAGAGAAAGCAGGATGCCAAGGTCAAAAAAATGAAAGAAGAAAAGAAGAAAGCAAAGGTAGAAATGGCATGTAATTGTTGAGAAAAGTGTTCAGATGGTTTTGGTTCTGTTGAGTTTGATAATAAGATACAAAACTGTCTCCAGCTTGAACAAGAGGCCTCAGGCGCTGAAGGGAAGCCTGTGGCTACAGACCAAAGCTTGAGTGGGTCTGCAGAGCCAAAGAAGCGTGGTCGTAGGAGGTCTGTGAAGGTTGAGCCTCCTGTAGCTCAGCTGACGGATGAGGAGAGGATTGCGCAGGGCAAAAGGGTGCTGGGGGCGCGCAGCAAAGCCAAGGCCTTGGCCAAAGCCCAGGCAGAAGCAGAGGCAGCCGCTCAGGCTGCTCAGGCCGCTAAGAGGGCAGCAGAAAGGAGAGCTCTTGCCCAAAAACGCTTAGAAGAGCGCAGAAGGCAGCAGATGATCGCAGAAGAGCTGAAGAAACCAGCAGAGGACATGTGTCTTATTGACCACAAGGTGAGTTTGTACAGTTTTTAATGGTTTGCCTTTAATGTGATCACCTCTAACCTGCTTGCTCCTGTCTTTAGCCTTTGCCAGAGTTGTCCCGCATTCCTGGTATGGTTCTCTCGGGCTCTTCTTTTGCTCACTGTCTGTCTGCAGTGGAGTTTCTTCATGCCTATGGAAAACTGTTAGGTCTGAACATTCCTAAGGATGTGCCCAGCCTGGCCACGCTGCAGGAGGGTCTGCTGGGGTTAGGAGACAGTCAGGGAGAGCTCCAGGACCTTTTGATCAAACTTTTAGAGGTGGGACTCCAGGACCCGGGTCTGCCTTCCCATTATCAGGTACATCTCACACAATAGTTGTTTGTGTTGTATATTATCATCTAATTAAAAGGATTTCCTTTTCTTTAGTCTGTTAAGATTCTTGGAGACAAGTTGGTGGATGTGGAGTTGACCCGCAGCACAGTGTCTGAAGTGCTGCGTATCTTTATAGAAGCTCACGGATATGACCCAGAAGTGTGCGACACTTTAAGGACCAAAACATTTCAAGCTCTGCCTCCGGACACTAAGGCTTCTATCTTGGGCTTTGTGGTGGATGCCCTGAATGGCAGCAACATTGTCATTAAGTAAGAGTGATAACTTTTAATTCCACTACGTCATTGCAGACCTTTTAATTGTTAATTTTTCCTTTAGTGATATTGACAATACATTAGAGAATATGTCCAACTACCGAAAGAACAAATGGATAATAGAGGGGAAAATACGCAGGTAAGACTGTTAGTAAGAAATATAAAATCAATAGTACTCAGTTGTGGAACTAATGTGTCTTCTCGCTGTCAGACTGAAGGTGGAGCTAGCGCGGCGCACAGGTCGCTCTGAGGAGGAGCTGTGTTATGAGGACAGAAGGCGCAGTGCTCGAGTGGCAGAAGAAGAGACCTCCTGTTTAGAGCAGACTGGGAGGGGCCGTCGCAAAAGGCACAAGGAAGAGCCCAAATTTAGTGATGTATGTGCAATGTGTTCTTGTAACTGCTTAATCTAAAAAAAAGAAATAAAAATTCTAAACTTTTTTTAAAATCCTTTTGCAGGGTGAAAGTCCCACCAATGCCAGCATTCCAGAGCTGGAAAGACAAATTGATAAACTCACTAAGGTAACATTTTATTTTTGCACACTTCTTATGCACATTTATGCATCTATGGGCTTTTCTTATCATGATCTCCCCCTACAGCGTCAAGTGTTTTTCCGTAAAAAGCTGCTGCAGTCGTCTCAGTCCATGAGAGCCATTCTTCTGGGCCAGGACCGCTACAGGCGCAGATACATTGCTCTGCCCAACCTCGGCATGGTTCTAGTGGAAGGCCCAGAAGAGATCTTATGTGAGTGTTGAAACTTGAATTGTGTTAAAACTGTTTATTGTGACTCAATTCATCGAATGTGTTACCACATCTCTTACACCTTTTTCTGAATCTTTTTTCAGCTTCAGATGAAGTGCTTGTAGCTGAGGTTCCTGTGACCTTCCTCAAAAAGGAGCCCAAAAAAGAGTTAAAAACCGAAGAGACCGCAGTGCCTACTACTCCCCCCTCTGTGTCCTTTCCGTCCCAGGCGGCAAAGGCACTGTCCCCAGGCGAGGACCCCCTACCTGGGACTGCGTCTCTCATGAGCCAGCCTCGAGGCCGCGGGCGCCCCAGAAAGATCAAGCCTGAGGTGGAGCTGCACCTGCGAACAGCCAAGAGCCGACGACGACGACGCAGCAGCGCTCGCTCAGGGGCAGAGGAGGGGCCAGGGTCCCCTCACAGTGACCTCACTCAGGCTGCCCTGAGGCTCAGCCAGCCCCACGATGCTCTGTCCAATGGCACCACAGCAGAGTCTGAGGAGAGTGTGAAAGAGATGGCCGAGAAGCAGGGCCAGTGGTTTAACCTGCTGCCCAAAGAGCCCTGTGATGACAAGTCTCCGAGTGACACCGATGGACCCGCCTCACCTCAGTCTCCCCCAAAACTCTCCCCACAAGTCCCCCAGAATGACCTGTCGTCTTCATCACCGCCTCCTGCCCCGGTCAGTGCAGTAATGGTCTCCTTACTTCTTTCTGTCTCCACACAATTAAAGTGCCTTTTTTTCTCTCTTCCTCTTAGTCTGATCTACAGAGTGATTCTCCACCTCTGCCGGATCCTGAGTCATGTCCTCCATTGGAATTGGGTCCAACTGAACCAAAGGCAGTGGCTCCAGCATCTGTCCCTCCCTCCTCTCCTCTTACCCCAGCCCCTAGCCCTCACCCTGCCCCTGTCTCCACTGCAGCTGAAGCAGAGCCAGAGCAAGCCTCAGACTGTCCTCCTGTCCTGGAGAGCTGCCCACCGGCTCCCCCCGGCCCAAAGCCCAGCCCCCACACACCCGGCCGACCAGGGCGCAGGCGACGCAGGGGCAGTCGAGGCAGCAGCCCAGCCCGAAGAGGAGCCAGAGGAGCAGCTGCGCGCCGCAGAGGACGCCCCCCCACAGCCATGTTCCAGGAGCTCGAACAACAGTACTTTACTCAGATGGTGGTCAGGCCTATCCCTATATGTGAGTTTGCACTTTTATGCTCCATTTTTTTATTTTTTTTTACTTTTTACACAAATGGAGTAAGGGTATCAGAAGTACCAAAACCCATATTGGAATCAATACTGAAAAACTAGTATTGTACCTTTCCTGTGGTTCTGCCTGGCCAGATACCTAAAATGGAGCTCATAATGGCAATTTCTTTCTTGAAGTGAAATTGCTTAATTTCCCAGAGCCCAAGGCTTGGGGCCTTAACTAAGGCTACATTCAGACTGCAGGGCTTATTGCTCAATTTGGATTTTTTTTGTGAAATCCGATGTTTTTGCGAGGTCGTTCACATTTCCAATTAAATGCGACTTGTATGTGATCTCCAGTGTGAACATTACATGGCCCAAAAGTGTCCCGTATGCGCACTTAAGGACACGATGACGTCAACTGCTGCGAGCGTGCTCTGTGTTTACGGAAATTGTCCAAACATGGACAAGCATTGAGTACCTGGCAATTGTAAAGTTCCTCTCATACTGGAGCCAGAACATGTACAACTTACTTGTTTTAACTCTTTCCCCCATGAAGACGACATTTGACGACTCCCCCTGTACCCTTAATGACGACTTTTGACACCTCCGCCGTATCACTAAAGACGTGATTTGACGACCTTTAGAAATGGCTCGGTTTTTCACATTTAAACAGAGACTGTGATCGGTGGGGGCCACTACAACCCACACTAGACTGACCAATAGGATTCAAGGATATGGTTTCGCAGATTTTTTCCGAAGTTAATCGAAATAGTGACGATGGTAGCTTCCGGAAAAAACACAACACGAAACACGTGCAATGGAAAGATCGCGGCGCACAGTTTTAGAAATAATGAGGAGCGGACGTATTTTATGGATAAGTTTAGAGAAAGTGACTTTTATAGATTTCAAAGTGATGATGTTGAAGTTGATTATAAAGTGGAAAACAGCGATAGCGACGGACTTTCGGGGAGAAGATGAGAATGCCGCTGACGCGTCTGTGTGGAGTCCTGCGATATCCAAACAAACTATCTGAGCTTTATACTCGATTATGAACCAAAATTGCCCTGAAATCTGGATGTTGCCCAGGCTAGTCCTTTAAAATATTGAATGAGTTGAATCACATTTAAACATCCATAAATGAATAGTTCAGAGTCTAAGGTTTCCAGAGAGACCAAATATGTCTGTGTTACAATTAAGTTCATGAGAGTAAAAATCATTTATAATCACTCGTGGAAGTCTGTTTTCTTTTATGCAGTTATGCTCTATGGGCAGCCCTAGTAACATATGTATGGGTTGTTCCTAGTAGGCATCCAGGGGGGAAAGAGTTAAGGAGGAGATTGAGAAGGAGCAGGACGAGGTTTTTGGCCATTGCGTTTTGTGGGGCAGTGGCAGCAACGTCCGTTGAAAGGAACGTGTGGATGCGGAGACGTAGCAAAGAGTGGTGGGATAGCAATGTGCTTCGCTTCAGTGACACGGAGTTCATTAACAATTTTCATATGACGAGAACATTTGTGTACATGTGTAGGTCGGATGAATGCGCCTTGACCGTTAAGACTGAAGTCGCATGTCAAAAGATCGGATATGTATCGGTTTTAGGACCGACTCAGGCCACTTGGATAAGTGGCCTGGGTCATATTTGAAAAAATTAATCTGTCTCGTTCAGACTCTCATTAAAAGATCAGATACAGGTCACATAAGGGCCAAAAAATCAGATTTGGGTCACTTCAGGCTGCAGTCTGAACGTAGCCTAAGGCAGAACTCATGATCCTCTGAATTTTTTATTTTTTTACTGTATTTATTTTCATTTGAATAGTTTCATGTTTATTGGTAATCAAACAAAGTCAAACTGATCTATATTTATCTGTAATTTTCAGCGATGGTGCGTGGTTGGTGGTGGATAAAAACCTCAGAGGAGTTGTACAGCACCTTACAGGCCCTGCACCCGCGTGGTGTCAGAGAGAGGGTGCTACACAAGCACCTCGCCAAGCACATGGAGAGCCTATCCGAAATGTGCACCAGACCCATCAGTGGTGAGGAGATGGGCATTTTGTGGAGATGAATACAGATGAATACCTGTTTTCAACTGTAAAGATGCAAAGATTAGCCCAGCATTTTTGTGAATATCTTGATCAGACAAATACTTCTAGTGTTAAAATGTTTATTTCTGATTGTTTCCCATAGATCCACTGTTTGATATGAAGGTGGAACAGAAGGACAACCTGTTGGAGGCATTGCAGCAGCCCTGGCAAGTGCAGGAGAGGGCCATGGAGTCGGACCTGAATGCCCTCAAGTGGGTGGAGGAGCTGGAGCAACGCGTATTCACAGCTGATCTGCACCTCCGGGTGAATAGACTCTCACTCATTTCAGGTTTGCAATAGTAGCATATTGAGAATATTAACTGTCTCTTGTCTTGTCTTTAGGCACCACCACAGAGTGCTTTGAATGACACTGACACTAGCGCAGACACACCAGTACCAGAGTTTCAGGTAAGGTTAAAGTGTATTTCTGGGGTGTATGTGTTTTGTATGAAGATGTGAAATTTGTATAATGTATCCAGTATAAGAAATACGCTGTTAAGAAATCCAACAACCCACCAATATCTTACCGATACCTAGATATTGAAACATTTATATCGTCCATTCTTGGCTTATTGTAAAGATTGGTTCTGTGTTTTTCTTGCAGCCGTACACAGTTCCAGAGCCAGACTCGACTCGGGATGACCTGCAGTATTATGAGCATGATGCTGAACCGAAGGATGACTGGACAATCCGCACAAAGAAGGAGTGGTCTGGACTGCCCCGGATCCCCACACACCCTTTGGACCTTGCTGTGCTGCGACTCACCAACCTTGAACGCAACATTGAGCGCCGCTACCTCAAAGAACCGCTGTGGAATCCATCTGAAGTGATCCGCCTCGCGCCTCTCACCCCCACCCCCGGAGAGGAGCAGCCCATGGACGTTTTCAGGTAAATCTCACTTGCGTTCATTCCACAACACTATAGAGTCCCTGTTGTTTAAAACTGAACTGGATATTAGGTCAGAATTCTGTGGTGCAGTTTGCTGTTTAACTGTCAGATTGCAGATTTGTTTACTTTTTTATGGTAAATATCAAAATTTTGTAATTTCTGAGTCTATCCTCATGAAACAAACAAAAATTCTCAGTTGATTGGACTTTAAGACATGAGATTAATATGGCAAATGTGTAGACTCAATCCCTTACAAATAATGAGTTTGACGTGGATTTCTGTTTTGGATATTTCTTTCAAAAATCTATTTTTTAGAATGTGAATGCAGCCTATTCACATTGTAGATTGTCTTTTAGATTTTTTATTTATTTTTTTATCTTCTCACAGTTTGGAGAATGAGATCACCTCTCGGTTACGTACTTGGCGTCAGGCTCTGGACAGGTGTCGCAGCGCTCCTCAGGTCTGCCTCTGTCTGCTTCAGCTGGAGAAGGCCATTGCTTGGGAAAGATCAGTCACTAAAGTGGTAAGAAACTTTGTAAGGGCTATGACTGGAGGGATTTATCTCTTCTAGTCTTCAGTTAAATTATTATTTATGTTTTTATGTGTTGTGAAACTTGTTTTTTCTCAAAATCTAAAATGCTTTTCAAAATTTCTCAAAATCTAAAATGGAAGCAATATTGAATATTTTCAAAAAACTTGAGAGCTATACACTTAAATGACAATGCACTTAATGTAATGTCAGGAATCAGATGCTCAAATGAAATGTTTTTAATGTTTTTGTTATTATACAAAGCACGTTGAATTACTTTGTGTACATGTGTTTCGTACCTATTCAACATGCTGAATGTGATTTTATTTTTTATTTTTTATTTTTTTTGGTAGAATTGCCAAGTTTGTCGTAAAGGAGACAATGACGACTGCCTTTTGTTGTGTGATGGTTGTGACCGTGGCTGCCACATGTACTGTCTGCGACCCAAAATGACCCAAGTACCAGAGGGCGACTGGTTCTGTCCTACCTGCGTAGCTAAGGTAAAGAGACATGACGCTGGGAGTTTGACATGTTTATGGTGGAATGATCAGCAGTTACCATAAATGCACACATTGGCAAACACTGAAAAAAAAGTCTGAAAACTCAAGAATACACACTTGAGTTAAACTACATATTTTCAGGAGCCTGTGACCACTTTGATCATTCAAGGTCCCGTTTAGGTGTTCAACAAGATGTTCATGAAAACTGAAACTGATGGCTAATGGTAGCTTGTGACTGTAATGTTATGTGAGAAAGACTTTGTTTAACAGCACAAATCAGCTCTGCTGTAGTAGTTCCAACTAAGTCAGTTCTTTATGGTCAGGTTGTGTTAGGCTTTAATCTGAGCTTTATTCTAAAAGTAAAGTAAAAGTTTCAGACAGAGCAGTGCTTCTACTTAGCTTCACCCTCCAGGGAATGTTGATTTTACTTCAGCTGTGAAGCATCAGTTAAACACATACACTTATGGTAACTTTTATTTTAGTACTGAATACACTGCGCATTTTTGTTTTTCAGAATGTAGAGTGTGAACCCAACAGCCGCTCATGCAAAAAGCGCACACGTGTGAAGAAGAGGAGATATGAAGATGACAGTTCAGAGGATGAAGCAACAACGCGACGGAGTGTTGGCATGGCAACGCGACACAAGGAACCAGCTCCAAACCAGACCTCGCCACGTCCCTCCGCAGATACAGGGTCTGCTAAGCGCAGACGTATGGTGACCCGCAACCAGCCCGACCTCACATTCTGCGAGTGAGTTATTTATTTCAACATTTTTTTCAGTTTTTGTGAAGTTTATCATTTTACTTCCTAGTTGGACATGAGCAACAGTGATTAAGAATAGAGGTGATTCTGTAGCTGTTACATAGCCATAACATACCCATACATACCGTATGGGTCAGAACATACCTAAAATGCCGATATTGTTAAATGAATGTTGAATCTGTCAGAAAAATGTGTGCCTTCTGTATAAATTGTCCCTGCATTGTGAATAGATATTTCTATATTTATTACATAGTCTACGTGGATGTATTCCATTTGCAAACTTAGTGCTACTTCTATATTTTCTAATTTTCTTCTGAACTTCTTTTCTGCCACTTAACTGCTGTAAAAAAAAACTGTCATATGGACTTTAAGTATTTGCTGCTAAACCTGACCAAACTGTTATGTGTATGTAAAACTCTTTCATGTTTGTAGGATCATCCTGATGGAGATGGAGGCTCACGCAGATGCCTGGCCCTTTCTGGAGCCTGTGAACCCACGGCTGGTGCCTGGATACCGCCGCATCATCAAAAACCCCATGGACTTCCTCACCATGAGAGAGCGGCTGTTGCAAGGAGGGTAAGATGTGAATCTGCACGGAGGGTTTGCAGTCGAGAAGGAGCTTGTGTAGTCATTGAGCAGTTATATGGGATGTCATAAAAAACATTCAGCTCATAGAATATTCAGTTAGTCTAATGTAGACCAGTGGAGATTTTAAGATGCTTTTGAATGACTAATGGTCATTCAAAAGTATTATAGTATGATAAATTTATATATAATATTTACCATAAAAATTACCAAGCGGTTTGTCGGGTTGTTTTTGTCTATTATTTTGTCTCAGTGGACTGGTTTAGATAATACTGGTTTTGAGACTTAGATTGGACGTAAAGACATTTTAACTGTAGATTTTGTGGTGTAGTAACCTCTGAACACATTTCAAATGTTGTGGTGTCACATTTCTTATTGTCTACACAGGTACTGCAGCTGTGAGGACTTTGCTGCAGATGCTCAGCTTGTCTTTAATAACTGTGAGCTCTTCAACGAGGACACGTCCGAGGTGGGAATGGCCGGACATTCCATGAGGAAGTTCTTTGAAAGCCGCTGGGCGGAGTTTTACTCAAATAAGGACAAATAAGGACTTCCTCTTGAGGCTTGCAGACTGTTGGTGCTTTTCACTTCCCTTACACTCTGCATTATGATAGACTGGAGCTGTTCAGCTGCGTGTACTCGATGTATAGGTCTAAGTGTATAGATTTTGGCTTTTGTCTGTTATTATTGCCTGTGATGGCCTCACTTTAAGGCTCTAAAGATGAACTGGACTCATTCCCCTCCACGGCTTCTCCATGTTATGTTAGCATCATGGTGCGTTTGGTCCCACCCTTTTTCACTGACGAGGGTCAAATGTCGTCTTTGGAGAATCTTGTTTTAACTCTGAAAAACCTCGGCAACAGACTTGACAAACCTCACAGACACTGGGCCTTGTTTTAACCTGTTCAATGGCAATGTAATGTAATGTGGTTTTATGCATAGAAGTAATTTCTTTTGCTCAATATATTTTTATTATATATTCTATATATAAATCTATATACAAAAAAACAATAGCTGGGATTATTTAATAGCAATAGCTTGTAGTGGACGTGTACAGACTACCTTTATAGAAATGTCTAGACATCTTACAAAATGGCCAGTTAAAGAAAACTGTTGTTGGACTGTCACGAGTAGATGTTGTAACCTCTACTTAAGTCTTGTGCACAAAAACACATGTACACTATTTAACCACATGCACAAAATCACACTCTCCCAGCGGAAAATGTGTGAAAAACACTGTTTTTAAGTGGAGGACGGAGAGCAGGTCTGGTCTTTAGACTGAGAAGTTGGTTTAACACTTGTTGCATCTGTTACACTGCAAAAAAGAAGTGAGGAGTTTTTACTAGTTTAGGTTTATTTACTTTATGTCTAGATTTTGTTACTTTTCTCAAATAAATTTAACTGATTTTAACCAAATGTGAATTAAAATTGTCTGCAAGTGTAGTAAGATTGTTTTTATCTTTGCTTGATTACTGTACTTCTTATCTTTAAAATAACAATAATAAATTGAAACCACTTAATTGATTTTGTTTTTATGGAATTCTATCCTCAGTTATAAAACCAAAACTAGTCAAAACTACTCCCATGGTTAAGTCTTTTTTGCAGTGTAGTTTTAAAAATAAGACCAACTAAACATGAAACTTGAGCTTGTTCAATGAAGCTAAAAAATATCTAACTTGACTTGTTGAAATGCTAGGTATACTCCTGCCTGGTTCTGTCTTACATTCCTTTATTGGTTCTCTCTCTCCTTACCTCTTTCCTCATCCCTCTTTTTCTGCCATTGAGAGCCTCTTGTACCTGTTGCATGGTTGGTGTACTCTTCATGACACCACCAAAAGCTTCACAATTTTATTTAAAACCTTTCTTTTCTTACACTGAATGCTATTTCACTGATAAAAATTGAACCTGGATGTTCCTTGCCACATTTAAGGGACATAGTGATTTTTTTTTTTTTTTTTTTTTTTTCAAAAGAGAGAAAAAAAGACAAAAACCAAATGTGGTGTTAAGTGACTTTTTAATAATGTACAGTTTTGGTGACTTTAAATTTGTTCCTTTATATTTTTAGGACCAATCCATCATTTATAAGAGGAGGTATTACAAGACAATGTTGTATCAAGGTAATGTAATGTGTGCATCTGTAGAATGTCATGTGAGTTGAATAAAAACCACAACAATAGATATGAACTGTTATTTGTTATGTTTTATCACCTAATATTAAGTATAAAATATTAAAAATACAATATGTAACTTTTGGGTTATTGTCCGCATCTGCTTGTCTCCATGGCGATGTTATTCCCTGAATTTTACATGCACTTTCCCAATCAATTAAAGAAATAACAGGCATAATTATGTAAACGCTAGATTGCCTAGTTTAATGCCATACTGTGGAACATTCAACTCTAAGCAACAACAAAGAGGCAGACTCCCACCAGAAAAGTTACACCGTGCACTACTAAATAAAAACAAAATCAGTTTATTCTCAGTAGATAAGTATTATCCTCCAAAACATATTTATTTAAATTTCTTTAAAATATAAAAGGGGAAAATCCAGATCCTGAATCTAATCACTCATGTCTAAAAAAAATTGCAATGCAAAAAATTATCATTGTTGCCATAGGAATTAACAATTCAAAACAAAATATTCTACTTTTTCAACAAGGAAAAGTGCTCAAAATGGTGCCTATAAACTGTGTGTATTCATTATTATTCAGTGTTTTTTTCTACCTGTCCCTTTCTCAGTTGAATAGTGAGCACTACAGAGTGTGTATGAAGCCCATCAGAGGCCGCTGTCTGAGGCACATGTCGTTTACTTCACTCCCAGCTGCTTTCCAGTGCCGAAGGACGTCATCAAAGTTTATTTTCCAATCTGTTTTTCCATTTTTCTTCATTTATCATTATTTAGTTATTATTTTGACAATTTGGTTTGACATTTTGATAACAGCCCCAGCTGTCTGTTGCATCACTATTAATTCATAATTCATTTCACTTTTTTGGACTATATCTTTTTTTTTTTTTTTTTCAACTCAGGTAGAAATTTCACTTTGTGCAACACAATACACTACAAAAAAAAAGATTTGACTTTGAAGAAATTTATTTTATTATCTTTTACCTATAATCTAAAATAAATCCTATGTTGAGTCAAAGAAAATGTTTTTTTTTTTTAATTCTAAAAATACATACATTTATATTAACATAAAATATTAAAGTGACAAATTTTGTATTGTGTTTCATATGTTATATAAAACATCAAATATATTTTACTTTTAGTGCCCAACTTCACAATTCAATCAACCCCAATTCAATTTCACTATGACTATGTGGATGAAGTGCGCTGCTTAGGGGCGCAAAAACAATATACTCTTAGGCAGGATTTTACCGGGAACCCACTACACCTTAATTATCAATAATGCTAAATAATTTTCTAATGTCTTCTTATAGTGTCTCCCTTTGTTAAAGCCCTGAGCTGGCACATTGTACACATTGTATGTACATTTGTGAGTGTCAGCAGTCCATGTGGGGCCCTGAAAACTCCCCTACGCCAGCGGGTTCCAGCCTGAACTGTCCCGTCCGCTCCTAACAGTCAGGCTTAACTCACAAAAGCCTGGCTCAGTGGAGCAGAGGGAGGGGGTAATCCTAAAAATAATGGCACCATCTCCAACCAGTCTGTTCTGGACCGAATCAATGTCACATTCAAATGTAGCTTCAGTAAAAGTTGTTTAAGTATTCTTGGCGGGATTATATGATATCTTTATAAATTATTCTGTTAATCCTTTATCTCATTGCTTTTGTGCAGTATGACATTAAATATGCATTGCCATAGAAACAGATCATGGAAATATATCTATCTGGCAAAGGTGTGCAACTTTGTTTGTGGTTATGCTACATTTTTGAATCCATGGAGATCTTATGCTTTACCTGGAAAGTTCCACAGTATGGCATTATGTAAAAAAAAAAAAAGGCTGTATCGCACCTATTTAATGAAATGTGTTTTTATTCTTTATGCATTTTTATAGAGGCTGCTAGGGTCCTCCATCAGAAAGGTTACCAGTGCATCTTTAATTTAAGTTTTTAAATCTTAAAGTTGTGAGAAAGGCATCTATCTGAATTCCAAGCTACAATCTGATAACTACCAGTGAATCTATTTCTAAAGCAGATTGTAACTGCATAGGATGTCTTATTAGCTTTCAATCAGTAAAATTGTGTAAAATTGTCAACATACAAATAAACCAGTTTTACCCATTTATCTTTTTGTGCATGATAAGAAGGATAATCATCTTGAAACCTTCGTGATAATACATTTATTTGATATCAAAGAGCTGGCAGAGGAGAGCATGCATCTAATGGAACAATAGGTGCTATGGCAACGGCAACATGAAAGACTTTGTCCCCATGGTGATCCACAACAAGTTGTTTGTGAGCAAAAGGCCCTGATTGAGTCTTGGACAAAATGATTGACCACTTCTGTGATTCCAACAAAAGACACATGTATTTTCCTCGCTATTAATTTAGCAAAACAGAAAACAACTATTTGCATTTAAAATATAGTAATTTGTAAAGGTAACATAGTTCTGTTGCATCCTCTTATAAATTGTGTTGTGCTAGGTAGATGTATGCAAGAATAAAGAACTATTTTAGTAAAACAAATCATGGATTAAACATTTTATTTTGGAATAGTTTTGAAATGTGATTAAATGCAGGAATGGTAACACTATATATTAACATATATAACCTTAATAAAACATGAAGAAAAATTATTATGATGTTTATTCCCATGCTGTGGGAAACTTCAAGTAAATATACCATCTCCATGGAGACAAGCAGATGCTGATCATTCCACCAAAGTTAAAGCTAAAGTCCTTATACTTGTGCATTTCACATGACATTTTTGATTTTGTTATTAAAACTGGAAAAATAATGAGACAGAACCTGGATGTGGACAAATAAATGACCCAATTTCAGGTGTTTGAATGAAGTGATGAGGTCTGATCCTGAAGAAGAGAGAGAGAGACTCAGGCAAGGCAGAGCTCAGACTGAAGAATAAAGAGACCTGCAGACTGACGCACACAGCCAGGGACTGCACAAGGAGCGCTTTATCATGACCTGGAGAGAGGTAAGGAAATACATATAAGTTTGATCAGGTGTGTTATCTTTTTTTACAGTGTAGTTAGCATAGAGTTCAGTGGGATTTATGAAGTACTTTTGTATTATGAAATGTGGTAGTTGTCTTATTGCAGGGTTTCAGATGACAACACTTTATATAGGCCTATAATATTGAATACAGATGGGGATAGCTAAAATTAAAATTGTTCAAATGCATTTTTTATTGTTATACTAGAAGTTAATAGAAATCATCAGGTCAAACATTTGTGCATTTTTGGATATTTCACAGCAGAGTACAGAGTTATCAACAGGAAAATCTGTCTCTTGCCCCCATCTGGAAGTATGACTTCACATTCTACAATCTGAAAACCACCAAAAAAGTCTCTAGCTTTAATAAAAAATAAATAAAAAATAACTACAACAGTACAACTTTTAATGGTACAGTATGTAACTTTTTGGAGGTTGCACATCACCTGCATGAGTCCATGGAAATAGAAAGTTAAAACCATACTGTGGAACATTTTCCAAGGAGATAGATACATTTTATGCCATACTGTCCAAGATTACAGCCAAGGGAGCATTTCCATGGAAACAAGCATGACGAGGCCCTCCTCCAGGCCAAATAAGAGTCAGGTTTGTGGAGATGCAAGCCTATTCAGAGTATAGGCATACAGTATGTTTCTAGTTTTTCACATCAAAATGAAAAACATGCTTTTATTTTAGTATATGGTTTGGCTAAAAAGTTACTGTGGCTTTAAGTAGGGCTGTAAGTTACACTTGCGATGAAGTTTTGGAAAATGAGTTATTAAACTAAAGTTGTTTGCTCCGTTGACTCGGAGCAGCTCCACAGTCGTCCGTTCTGGCGTGCCGTGTTGGCAGAGCTGCTGGGCACCCTGGTGTTAGTGAGTGCCGTTCTGGGCTCATTGGTGCCGGGGCCCGGGGAGGCCTCTGGGGGCCCTCTGTACCCGGCACTGGCAGTGGGCGTGGCCATAGTGGCGGTGGCGCACTGTTTTGGAGAGATCAGTGGTGCTCAGGTATACTTATGTCTACTTATACTTGTACTACTTATACTAACGTCTCATAGGTATTATATATGCCTGTCACAATATTTATCACTTTTATTACTTTCTCTCTCTCTTTTTTTTACTTTTTCTTTCTTTTTTTTTCTTTTTTTTTTTCTAGTGGAATACTTTTTTTTGTACGACAATAAGATCTGAGCTATACGGAGCTCAATAGTGACCACCCACTGTTTCTGAAAGTACATTTCCATTTTGATTACTGTTGAGCTCCATAGGGTCGAATAAATGACTATTATAGATACAAACTACTGTTTTATTAACTAATATTTTATTCTTCTATTTATTTGAGACTTATGCTTTTACAATATTGTAAATTTTGTGGGATAATCAGTCAGTTTCAGTACTATTGTTTATCATGTATATTTTTGTCAGCAAGATATTACACTTCAGAATTTGTTATCGTGACAGGCCTGGTTAACATTGTTAATAATTTTTTATTTTAAGCTGTGAACTACGTTATCTAATGTACGTGAGTGTAATTCCTATATTATACTGTGGAATAATAGTATTTATCTGTACCTCTACTGAAGGTAAACCCTGCAGTGACTCTAGCCCTCCTGGCCACTCGCCGCATGGACATACTCAGAGCTGTTTTCTTCATCTGTGCTCAGTGTGTAGGGGCCTGTCTCGGCACCGGGGCCCTGTACTTGGCTCTTCCACTCAAAACCACAGCAGACCACTTTATCAATAAGGTACTTCTGCAGTGAAAAACCCATGTCAGTCTAGAGTAATAGTAAAAAACACAAAGCACTTTAAATATGCACTTTAAAGGTCCTTTATTGAACAAAAACTATTCTTGTTTTAAACCATGTTATAATGGTGTTACCTCATCAAAACAATCCTGAAGTGTGTTTTGTTGAGTAACCTTTTATTACTAATCTATCTACATCTAAAGCTCAGAATGCTCTGTTCTGAGTCCTTATGAAGTCATGAAGTGGTAGTTTTCAAGTTAAGAACTAACCCTTACCTATAGTTCAGTAGAGATTGGCAATTCCGGTGGCAGAGGAGCTCTTCCTGTATAACCACATGACATCACAAGGTGAGCCAGTGTGTTTTCCGTTTGAGAGAAGAACTCAGCCTAAATATGTAGAATTTGTGAATGAAACAAAACATAACTCCAGATATATTTGTGATGAGGAAACAACATTATAAATCAGAAAATAGTGTAACACAGGCCCTTTAATAGTAGGTGTAGAGTGAGTGTTGACAGAGTGGTGTTGTCAGGTACCTCTGGAGCTGAACGCGGCTCAGGCTCTGTGTGTGGAGATGCTGTGCACATTTCAGATGGTCTTCACAGTGTTCTCTGCAGAGGACCAGCGCCGCAGGGACAGTCCTGAGCCAGGAAACCTTGCTGTGGGGTTTTCTCACACCGCGGGGGTCCTAATCGGGGTGAGGCATCTGTCTGCTCATGTTTGTGTTTAAACTCATGATTAAACATTTAAACTTGTGTCTTTAGGCACGATTCTCTGGAGCCAGCATGAACCCAGCAAGGACTCTGGGCCCTGCCATCATCACTGGCTTCTGGGAAAATCACTGGGTAAGGAAATACAACATACAGACTATACATACTATAAAGTTACACTCTTGTGGTAATGTCAGATTGGTAGCAGCTCCCCTCATCATGAGTATAACTGTAATAAACATGAGTCTAACTGTTTTATGAGCTACACTGAGGTCAAAGAGTAGCATATACAGTACATCCACAGTCCAGTGTTTGCTGACTCATGGCCTCCTGGTGAGGGCACTGTCCTCTCACACCTGCTCCTTCGCAGCGGAAACTTCAGCACCAGAGCAGAGCACTTTTAAGGAATGTACCAGCAGTGACTAACTCGGTGGTTTCTGTTTGGAATACTGCAGTTCTACCATCGTCATGCGTTAAAGAGCTCAGGATCATCACCCATCAAATATATTCAGTTGGCCTAAAGTTAAACAAATGGACGTTTTATGAGATGAAAATTCTGACACTATAGTTTGATAGCTGTGTTTACTAGTAGTGACCAGCAGCCTATCGAGCTGTTCCATGACTTTTTGTTTACTTTTTATACTAGACCTAATGCATCTCTATGGACATTTTGCACTGCTGCTTCAAACATGGCAGATTTTCATGGTAGCGGTTGTTTTTTCCATCCCGAGCTCTATTGTTGTGTTCTTGGGCAATACATACCCATCCTGCCTGAATTTCCTGCTGTCTGTGATTGGTCTAATCTATGACCAGCACAGATTTCAGTTTGCCCCAGATCAGTAGTGGCTACAGAAGTTACTAGTTTTAGAGGAAGTCACTAAGGAATAATGGACAGTATAAATCTAATACATTACTCTAATAATTGTTGTATATTGTTGTTATTCTACCCTGTCCTGTCACTTAAATGCCTGTGTGTTGTTGTTCAGGTGTACTGGATCGGGCCAGTGCTAGGGGCCGTGCTTGCTGGGGTCTCTCATGAATTCTTCTTCGCCCCCTCTGCATCTCGTCAGAAGCTGGTAGCGTGTTTGACATGTAAGGACATCGAGATTGTAGAGACAGCGAGTATGACCGGATCTTCTCTGTCCACCGTCACACAGAATGCTGCCCGAGCTAAACAAAGCAACAAGACTGAGAACTGAGGAGAACAGCTGCAAAACAAGTGGTAACACTTCAAGAGCCCATATTACACACTTTTCTGATCTCTGTCATAATGTTGTTTCCTTATCACAAACTTGGAGCTGTGTTTTGTTTCATTCAAAGATCCTGCATATTCTACCAGTGTCTACTGAATAAAAGGTAGCAGTTAACCTGAAAACTACAAGGTGGAGCATTTTGAGCTTTCGAGATAATATAGTCAGTCTAGTAATAAAGGATTACTCAAACATGAAACAAAACACATATCTCCAGGTATGTTTTTGATGAGGTTATATCATGCCTTAAAGCTCACAAGAGTCAATTTTGTGTAATATAGGACCTTTAATAACTACACCTTAATTAGCGTTAATAAAGCATGAACAAAGCATTATAACATAATGAACAAATAGTTTCATAAGACGGATTCAGCTTAAGTAACTACTTAAAGGCACAGTATGTAACTTTCTGGAGGTGGCATGTCATCTGCATAATTCTATGGAAATATAAAGTTAACAATACTTCAGAACATTCTCCATGGAGTTAGATAAGTTTATGCATACTGTGGAAGAGTATAACCAAAGAAACAACATTCCCATGAAAACAGGCAGACAAAATAGAAGTCAGGTTTATGGAGATGCTCCTAATACATTTTTTTTTAAAAAAGTATAAAAATGACATACTGGCTTTAATGTTCATTATGACTATGACTACTTAATTGCCTTTATTCTTGTTCTTGCTTTATAAGGCTCCATATTGTGTAGTTATTATAAAGAGTTATCCATCCTCTAAACCTACACATTTGACTTTTCTAGTGGAGGTACTAGAGGTTCTAATCTAATCTGAAAACAACCAAACCATTCTGCTCATTAATCATTATTCACACTGATAGAGAATATACAGTAGACGCCAAAGTTATTGTAAAGTCAACAAACAGCATCTCATCAGTATTATTTGTTTTTTATAAAGCCATATTTGTTTTGTTTTTTTTAAATATGCTTGTATTACTTTTATTGTTATTTTTGTTCGTGTTCTGTGAATGTGATCTCATACACCCCTTTTGAGTGATGTCCTCTGAACCAGCATTGCTACTTTTGCATTTACACATCATTGGAATATTTAATGAAGGTATGAAAGTGTGTAAAAACAGCATCTTGCGTCTACACCATTGACTGTCTACACTTTGAAATGCTAAAAAGGCCCTTGTTTCTAGTCCTAAATGAAAGCTGCTCTTATGTCAATCCAAATGACATACTAATAGATGGACCATTCACCTGAAATGACAAAACATCTGTGCAATAGCTTTGAGAGGTTGTAAATGGAGAACATGTAATATAAGAAGTTTGGATTTTGAATAAATAAACATGTATACGTTTTTGTACACTTGTTACAATATATTATACAATGTATGAACTGAATGAAAAATAAAATTGATTATTAACAGACTAAACCCTTAATAAGTACTACAGCCACAGAGTCCTTGAGGCAGACTGACAGAAGTGAGGCTGAAAATCTGTGCACTTTTTTGAAAAACAGTAACTACTGACTAGCACACACAATAACAACAACAGGAGTAATTGTAATAATGCAAAAAATTGTAGGTGAAATTGTATTTGAATATAACATTGAATATATCATCGTTATAGTCAGTTTTACATCATATTTTAGAATGATTTCAAACAAGAAAATATTATTGTATTAATTGACAATATATTACCAGATCAATTTATCTACTCTAAGAATCACCAATGCATAATTTAAGGGGTGTACGTTAAGCTTAAAGGCGCATATTATGCTATTTATTGATCTATGTTATAATCTTCATTAAACACATACTCCGTCTTCTCTCAAACAGGAAACACTGTAATTTGTGATGTCAAGTGGCAGTTTTGTGTACTATAGGACCTTTACAGTTTATTCACATTTTGCCTGAAACTGTAATCTCGACAAATACAATTAAAGGCACTTCTTAGTACATTTCTGTTGAATTCCAACATCAACTGATTTTCATTTTTGTCAGTATCGAACATCTCTATTATAAGCTCTTCTATCTAGAAAAGAACTGTTAATGTCACATAATTGTCAAGTAAGGCCACACAAAGTACACAATAGATATTACTGCCCCATTGCAGGCAGCATTTTGCATTGTGTTCTTTCTCACATGTATAAAAGGGTGTTCAAAAGGCTAGCTCAGCGTTCTGCATTCATTTGGCTGGCCCCTCTCCCCTGCCCTCACACCCAACGTCCACACTAAATGCTCTGCTAGCGGCCCACTGCAAACATGTTCCCACTAAACTTCTATTACCAACAACAAACCTCTGCACGCAAGTTAGAAAATGGTTTGTTTCTAGTGAGACTGAAGCAACCAAGTCCTATGTCAAGTTCAAGTGAGAGCTAGACCCCAAACAATATAGAACACAATGTCAACTGTAAGGAAACATCAGAGAATATAGTCTGTTCCTTTTTGATATATAAAAATCATGATAATTTCAAAGGGTAATGTTTTCTATATAAATATAATAAAGGTGAAATGCAGACAATGGTTTCACAGGGTCAGGCTTTTAATGTATGGGTCAGTTGTGTGTTGTTAGCTTTGCAGACTTCCGTCCATCCGGAGGCCCCTCTACATTATCCACATGTGTGTTATTGGAGTGTGCACTTTGCTTTGTTCAGGAGCCATTGTGCCTGTGATTATGACCGATATGATATGTAAACACATGACAGAGCCACGTTTAATTTAAAAGAAATATATAAAAAAAAAATACCTGTATCTTTTTACAGTATCATTAAGTATATGAATAAACCTACAATCTGTGTGAAAAGCTGTGCTGAAGTTCTATGCTCAGGTTCTAGTGTCCTCTGCCTCACTATGGCAGAGAGAGAGGTGAGGGGTGGGCAGAGAGAGGGGTCTGCAGAGGGCTGAGGTTTGTTTGATTTGGGACACCCCCGCCCTGGACTCTGTGGGGGATTATGGCGTCACGGGGGCCCCTGGGGGGGTGTTATAAAGCCCCGGTTGGGCCCTCTCCGCTCCGTCAGAGAGGCTAAAAGTCCAGCAGACACTGTGATCCCTGTCTCTTCTGTAGAATCTCCCCTATAGCATTGATGCCCATCAGGTCCTGACCCTCCCTGAGATCTCCCATCACTCACACTTATGTCTTTGCGAGCGCTGGACACAGGAGGCAGACTGCAGCACAGTTGACTTTACCACATCTCGTGGTGAGGAGTTGAGTGGATTGTCTGTTTTCAGATCCAGAGTCTTTGAACTGACAAGACTTGGTCAGTTCAGAAACTGTCAAAAACGGGAGATCTCTGTTATTTTAAAATCTGAGGACTGAAAAGGTTAATCTGACCTTTTCTTGACTCACCTTTAAGTCTTTATTTGGTGAGAATCTACAGCCAGGTCATCACCATGTGGGAGTTTAGGTCTATGAACTTCTGGCGGGCGGTGTTCGCGGAGTTCTTTGGCACCATGTTCTTCGTCTTCTTTGGGATGGGCGCCGCTCTGCGCTGGACCACGGGCCCTCACCACGTGCTCCACGTGGCCCTGTGCTTCGGGCTGGCGGCTGCCACCCTTATCCAGTCCATCGGCCACATCAGCGGAGGGCACATCAACCCTGCGGTTACCTTCGCCTACCTGGTGGGCTCTCAGATGTCCCTGTTCAGGGCAGTCTTCTACATAGCAGCCCAGTGCCTCGGGGCTGTGGCCGGAGCAGCTGTTCTGTACGGAGTGACTCCTGGAAACATGAGGGGCAACATGGCTATGAACACAGTAAGTACATTTTACAACTATAAACACTGTAACTAAATATTACTACTATGAACACTGTAAGTACACTTTACAGCTATAAACACTATACTTATACTATACTTAGAACACACTTTATCAGTATCAACACTGTGATTACAGATACTTCACTGCAGTTTAGACAGAAGTTGTTAAAGCTTTGCTCAGACTGAGTACCTGTGTGTTGCAGCTGCAGCCGGGCATCAGCCTGGGCATGGGCACCACGGTGGAGGTCTTCCTCACCATGCAGCTGGTTGTCTGTATCTTCGCCGTCACTGATGAGCGGAGGAACGGGCGCCTGGGCTCCGCTGCCCTCTCCATCGGCTTCTCCGTCACCATTGGACACCTCATGGGGGTAAGAGCTGCATAGGCTTTTACAGACACATGCCCAAACACAGTTTAACACAAGTGTGTCTTTAGATGTACTACACTGGAGCTGGAATGAATCCTGCCAGGTCTTTTGCTCCTGCCGTGCTCTTCAGAAACTTCATCAACCACTGGGTAAGACCCTGTCATTTGACAGGTGCTACTCTAGCCTTCTGTTATAAAATGTTAAACCTTTGGTACTTGCAGGTGTACTGGGTGGGTCCCATGATCGGAGGTGCTATGGGTGCTCTGCTGTATGACTTCATGCTGTTCCCCCGTATGAGGGGTCTCTCTGAGCGCCTGGCCACACTGAAGGGCAGCCGCCCGCCTGAGAGCGAGAGCCAGCAGGACCCTCGTGGAGAGCCCATCGAGCTCAAGACACAAGCCCTATAAACTGCCCCGGGGCAGGCTGCGGAGACCAGGGACGGCCCACCTCACCACCATCTGCATCATACACTTCCACAAGAGTTCAGCATGCTCCAGAAGGACACTCTTCATTGTTTTTATAAGTGATGGGCCTTAAACAGCAGCTCTGTCTCCCAATTGCATTAGTGTTTCTCCAAAGGGAAAGTGAAAACCTGAGATGGAGCAGAGGTGGTAGAGTCCGGGTGAGGTGGGCTAAAGCTTACATGGGCGGGTACAGGAAAGAGGGCATCTATCTGGGTTTGTGGTCGTTTCAGGTTAAACAGTGATGATGGGCATGCTTCACATTAAACATCGGAATTTCTCAGTTTAAGTTCTTTTTAGTTTTCTGCACTTCAGACACAGGACGTGGATGTATTATTCCATTAGCTTGACCAGGGTTTCATCATTTCAGCTCATTACGTTTTATTTGTGGGTTTGTTGGTCTGATTGGAGACTTTTGGAGATCGAAAGAGTGGCTGCGAGTGAGGGAGTTTGTTCCAGTGTGTATATGTGTGTATGCGTGGCCAAGACTGCATATTCAGTTCTTATTATTTTGTTTTATTTTACCACTCACCTGTTTTGTACCATTACTGTGTTGAATTTTGTCAAAGACCCAAACTTTCTCCTCCCCTCACTGTGGTATTTACTGGTATCCATTTTTACATAACTCAGCTCAGAAAATGTTGTCCCAGACTTTGAATGGTCTGTTAACAGCAGACAAACCGTGAGAGCTTCTTTGAGTCCTATTATTATTTTAACTACAGGCAGCACAAGGCATTTCAATGGTATTTCATTTCAGTAATAAACATTCAAAATGATAGTATGTCGTTTGTGTCTTATAATTGAAAAAAACAATATATGTGTATATGTATATATATATGTATATATATATATATATATATATATATATATATATATATATATATATATATATATATATATATATATATATATATTATATATATATATATATATATATATATATATATATATATATATATATATATATATATATATATATATATATATATATATATATATATATATAATGTAAGGGTTAAGGATTTAGCCTTTGCCCATTTATACATGAGGACACGTGCTAAGAGCATGCTAAGATAATGTCCAGTATCTTGGCTCTATATTAGATATTAAGATTAGATATACCTTAATAATCCTTTTCAGGAAACGATTTTTGTTACTGTAGTTCATTTACAATAACAGTAATAAAGAGTTTAAAAAAAAAAAATGCTAATAAACTCTCACCTTACGTCATATCCATTTTAGTCGAGACGTAATAGGACGGATTAGCCACTTATTTATCATTTATTATTTATTTACTATATTGTATCTACAAACATATGTTGCTTTGTCATGTTGTTGTGTTACTGTAATTAAAAAAAAATATATATATATATAATAATAATAAATAAATAAATAGGACGGATTAGCTGTTAGCGATGGTCACGTCAGTGTCCGCTAGGGGGCGCAGGGGGCTTACAGCTTCTCAAATACTAGACCTGGGTTTTCACTGAACAGGCTTTTAACTGCGTCACTGTTATGCCCTTAGACTGTCTATGGTTATGTCTTAAAAAGTCCAATACGTACAGCCAAATGTTATCAATTTATTTAGCTGCTTTTTGTTTATACGGGATATTTTGAGGACTTTTGCCCACTCAAAAGATATAGAGGGCCTAATATTTAGTTTTGAATTATTAATTGCTATGGAAACTATGCTAGTTTTTCATCACCCAAGAATATTATGATAATATTATTGTAGCCCTATAACCCTGAGAGAATAGTGATATGTTTTATGCAGAAAACTAGGATACATTAACAATTAAATCTGTTTGGAAAGCTATATCCGGCATGGTTACTTTACTGCAATAGAAACAATATCTAGCTGTTATAGTTAGTAGGACTATTCTGCATCTTACTACTTGCTGTTGATTACATGTTTCTTATCTCTCACTGTTTTCTTGTTCTTGCATCAGCGATAAACTCCACCCAACTCCACTGACGAAGCCACACAATACTAATGACAAGTGATGATAAAACAGACTGTAATGAACATGCATGGCTTTTTAACATAGCCTAGTGTCATAATGGTTGGTGAATTCGCCTCACGGCCAGAAGCTCCAAGGTTTCATTCAGATCAAGCCAAGCCATTCTACTTGGAGAGATCTTTGTGCATGGATAGATTTTGTCCAGAAGAAACTGACTAAATATCCTGGTAGTATGATAGAAAATAATCTAAAACACTGGTAAAAATAACACGCAACAAAACATACAACATACATACACAGAATCCACAATATTACAATATCTAGATTTATTTATTGAACCTATATCATATTTATTTCTAGCATTCCTGATATGTTTAAACCATGTTAGATCTGGAGTTGTGTTGTTTTATTCACAAGCTGAAGTAACCATTTATTATTAGTTTGTCAACATCTCCAAATCTCCAGATGTCATGAAGTGGTAGTTTTCAAGTTAACAGCTCCCTTTTACCTTTACTGTACTTCAATAGAGATTGGCACTTCCAGTGCTGTAATTATATGATTCTAGTGAAGGTGTATGGAGTTTTCTGTTTGAGAGAAGAACTCACCCTAAATATGCAGGGTTTGTGTGTTAGCCATATGTGTATGAAAGAAAACAGCCCAAGTCCAAGTATGGTTTTGATGAGTAAACAACATTTTAACAGAGATCAGAAAGTAGCGTAATATTGGCCATTTAAACCCTATTGAAAATTTCCATAATTTCAGAATATAGATGCAATTTCAAATTCAAAACTACAGTATTTTTAACTTTTAGTCCTTTCTGGAGTGACCACAGTAGTAAAGCACACAATTACACAAATCAATTTCCAGTGTTTTTAAAAAGAAGTGATTTTATTTTGCATATTGGTTGTACACATGGCTCTCGGATGGCTTTGGGCAGTGACTCTGACAGTTCAATGTAATGAATGGTTGTATTTCTGCAGCTGGAGAAACAAAGGACAAAGGGCCTGACACTGCTGTACACTGCACTCTGTTTCATTCACACAGTCCACACTAAACACAGCACTAAGTCAATACAGCGTACAAGTCCATCTACACTACATGTTTCATCTGATGAAATGTAATAAATGATTGAACATTTTTAAATTAAAGATTTCCTGTTCTTTGAATCTGGATATTTGAAGATTTGCTTAAAATATTTGCTTTGGATCAACATAAAATAATTAAATAGAAAACACAACATATTCCACTTGTAAAAGGTGGCACATAAACTTTTCTGAGAGAAGTTACAGCATTTGCTTGTCTCCACAGAGATGTTCTACAGTATGGCATTAAACTCGTGGCTAAGGAGACGTGTAGGTAACACCATCGGGCCAAGTTACAGATCAGGTTAGTGGAGACGTGCCCCCTTCAGTAAAAATTTATATATTTCCCTTAAATAAAAACAACTGTTAAATTCCCTACTGCGGAACATTCCAGGCAAAGCCATACCATCTCCTTAGAGATAAACAGAGGGCAGACCCCATCAGAAAAGATTCATAGTGCATCTTCAAAGTCATCTCATATTTTTGAGTGTACATTTCTATGCATTTACCATAGGGGGGCACAGTGTCAGAAAAAACACTGTTTGATAATTTGAGCAATTTATAATGTAACTTTTGACACAGTGACTCAAATAAATTAAGTTTACTTCTGTCAACTCCTTTTTGAACCTGTAAGTATATAGCTTACATTACACACCAAATTATGCAAGAATCATAACTGTAGGGCTGTATTTTAAATAAAACTACTTGGCATTTAAAATATTAAATAATTACGTATTTAACATATTTCCACCTCTGTCTCTGTAATTAAAACATGTACCTAAACAGCTGATATTTTGATATGTTTAGTTTCTTGACATATGGCAGTAACAATCATTTTTGGACTTTTTTGTGCAGCCGGATAATTTCCAATGCAGTGTTAAACCCAAAGGCATTCATTACATTGCATTATGAGCTGTTATGGAACAAAAATAATGCTGAAACACTAATTAAAACACTTACTAAAACATGAATATACCAGTGCTGTCTACCTCAGCCGGTTCAGTCCGCATTATTCATTACAATTGCATATTTAGTTACGTTGTGATTATCATTGTACTGTAATAGCCTGCCAGCTCAGAATAAAAGACAGAAATAATAGTACAATAAATATAACCGTTCATTTGATTTGAACGGTCAAAAAGAACAACCAAGTAAACAGGGACACGGCGAAGTCTCATAGTCCATAGACAGTTCACTTAAAGGGATGTACTCATTGCAATTGCGCCATTTATGTGATTTTTGTTTTGAATAATTGCTTTGTAACTTTAAAGGTGCACTAGGTAACTTTTTTGCCTATTTGTCACCATGGAGATAATACTGCTTTGCCCAGAATGTTCCCCATTTTGGCATTAAACTTATCGATCTCCAAGGAGACAAGCAGGATGTCAGATTTATGGAGAGACAACCTTGCTTACGTTTGGGCCTATAATTCCCTGCAACATGGTAATTGAATAAAAAAGTTTAATGCCATACTGTGAAACTTTCCAGGCAAACCAACAAGTGCCCCTTCCAAGTTTCAGTTGTTTATGTCATATTTTCCACAAGTCCATGTATATGAATGAATAAAAAATCTCTAATATCTTAAATTAGCATAACATGTTTCATTTCAGAAAAAGGATAAAGAATAAAATGTCATATCTCTACCACTTTGCACCACATTCAGAAAATAACATAATAGTTTCATGAAGTATTTTAACATTGACATTATAAAGATTCAGAGTGCACATGAGAAGCCCTTTGAATGCATCACACTCCTCCTTGTACTGTCTCGTTCAGTTGATGTCACAGGTTGCATCAGTTCTTTTTTTTTTTTTTCCTTTTTTCCATTTAAAAAAAATCATCAAGTTCTTCCATTTACTGCAAGCGATCCGGCTGATGCACGGGGTAGTGAAGGAAAGCGGCTGGGGGGGCAGACATCGTAGCGAGCGCAGCCAGAGAAGGGTGCAGGGCGTTCGGGGTGTTCGTGGGGGCAGTGAGGGCAGTGGCGGAGGTCCCGGGGGAGAGAGCGTAGCTAAGGTATCCACCGGCAGAGGGCGACGGAGAGGGCGTGTAGGGGTACTGGTCTACCGCCGTCTGGACGTAGGGGGCGTAGACAGATGAGTAGTCCAGGTACTGAGGGGTGAGAGCGGGCACGGAGCTCAGGGGGGACTGGAGCAGGAGGCTGGGCTGGACGAAGGTCTGAGGGTACAGGTAATGCTGCGCCAGCCTGGAACAAAACAACATAGATAGACAGATAAATAAAGAGCATGATAGAGAAAGAGATAGAGAGAGATAGATAGAGATAGAGATATATAGAGATAGAGATAGAGAGAGACAAAAAGACAGAGATAAAGAGAGCACTAGACAGAAAGATAGATAGTGAGAGAGGGCGATAGATAGAAAGAAAGACTGATAGAGGGAGAGCAATAGATAGAGAAAAAGATAGAGAGATAGAGAGATCGATAGATAGATAGATTTATAGATAGATAATAGATAGAGAGAGATAAGAGATAGAGAGAGAGAGATATGTAGATAGATAGACAGATAGATAGAGAGGGAGTGAGGGACAGACAGCGCGATAGTGAGGGAGCGATAGATAGAGAGAAAGAGAGCAATAGATAGAAAAAAAGGTAGATAGAGATATATAAAGAGATAGAGGGGGAGAGCGACAGATAAATCTAATGTAATCTAATACTACTCTGATTAATTTATTCCAAAAGTATTAGATGACTGATTATAGGTTATGAGGAAAAAGGAAACATACAGACCCAATGTATAAAAAGCATGAAATCTGAACTGTAATTAAACTTCCTGTTGTCTAAACATTTCAAATAAACGGCAGCCCAGTCCACACGCACACTCCCTCAAACACTGATGTTTGTTTATGTTTTGGTTCACTGCTGTCACCAAAAGATGACCTCCTGTGCTCCCTGTTCACCTTTATTACTGTTTTACACACATTTCTATGGACAGGAAAAAGTACGGTAATTAGAAGTAACTAGGATGGTAACTGCAATACTCAATATTATCGTAACTTTTAACTAAAAAATAATAATTTAATCACATTTTTAATATGGATTTATTTGATAGGAACAGAAAAAACATTTTTATAGTTTGCTGTGCAACTTGTCCATCGATTTAGAGATACTCAAATCTATGTATACAAAATGTTCATAATATGCATCTCATGGTACGATATTTATTGTGATATTTGAGGCTAACAAAATTGTGAATATGCTACTTTTCTGTCATAATACAAATAATTATCAGTTATTTCATCATGTAGATTGGACTGAAACAGAGCATAGGATTATGGTATACATAGTTCTCTGTTTTTTAGCTCATGCACGCACCATGACAATGAATTTAAACAAAGAAACTTGTAATTTAATATATTGTGAAAGCCATGGTGAGACTCCTGGCAATACGATATCACGAAATTTCAGTTATTTTTACATCCCTAGCATAGACCTGGTTCCCAGGATAAAAAAGACGACCCAACGCGCATGCGCTGAACAATGGGAATTATTTTTTAAGTGGAATAAACGTTTACATGATCGCAGAATAAATTCATTCAGTTTTAAAATCGGAATAAACCACCCACTTAATTCAGATTTAAGTTTAATTCCGAATAATCATTAGGAATTAAGTGTTTACATGGTCTTTTTAAAGTGGAATTCATTTTTATTCTGAATTAAATTATTTTTAATCGGAATTAAAGCTCTCATGTAAATGGGGCAAATTACAAAAAAAGACATTACATTTAACACAGATTTTTATAATATAGTACAATAATTACTATCGACTACTACTTGTATGTACTGCAGAAATATCCATTACTTAATGTTGTTGCTGTACTGTCATTACTGTAACAGCCTTCATACATTTGATCTACTGAATAGGACTCATTAAAGGGTCCTTCACTGTCAGATCTGATGTAAACACATGTACACATGCTTTACTGAGGTATACACCAGGCCAGTGTCCTCATCCCAACTGGATTCATAACCTCCTCCTTTAATAGTAATTAGCCAAATTGCTCAGTTGCTTTTGCCTTAAATAGCCCAGGTCTCTTGTGTTTTCGTCTAATTAGCACAGCTTTTCTACATGCTAAAAGCCTTGTACTGACATAATAAACCCCATTTAGAAAACAGAGAAACGTCTTGAACAGGGGTGAATGGGGGGGTACGTGCTGGAAATAAGGATCGCTTAATTGATCAAAATGTACTGAAGAATACTGTAGAACAAATTCAAGTGCACGGATATTAACTCCTGGGATAACACAAGGATTAAATGCTTTTCAGAAGTAGTTTGTAGAGGTTTAAACTAAAGCAGGATTTAGAATTAGACCCTATGTGGAGACTATTTTGGTACTTACCTATACCACATTATCATAATTGATAATGTGGTAAAATTTAGTTTAATAATTTAATAAAAATATGCAAAAAATCTAGAAGTGAAACCTAGAACATAATAAAGAATAGAACATTTAAAGGACCCATATTATGCTATTTTCATCTGTTATAATGTGCTCATCAAAAACAGACCTGGAGTTGTGTTTTGTTTCATTCACACGTGTTTAACACACAAACACTGCATATTTTGTCTGAGTTCTTCTCTCAAACAGAAAACACTCTGTTCCACCTTGAGATGTCATGTGGTAACACAGGAAGTGCTCCGTACACCTTTATAAGAATTATTTGGATAATTTCAGCCCTGGAATTGATGATCTCTACTGAACTAAAGGTAAAAGGTAGTTGGTAACTTGAAAACTGCCACTTCATGACATCACAACCATTGAACCATTGAACCATTTTGAGTTTTGGAGATGTAGACCTACTAATCATAAAGGAAAACAAACAAAACACAACTCCATGGTATGTTTTTGTTGCGGTAACGGCATAATAACATGGCTTAAAGCTAGGATTAAAGTGAACAATCTTGCTATTTTCCCCTATTACATTAAAATACAACATGATGCAGTGATCGCAAAAGTGCATTCTCCCTCTCTCGTTCTCCTCTCTTTCTCTCCTGAACCATCCCCCACTAAAAACAACAGTATTTGACATTGTGGCATGCCTACTGTACACTGCTTAATCTCCACATTGTATTAGTGATAATGAGAGCAAGGCCCTGTTCTCTGGCCTCACTTCTGCCTTTGAATGAACCTGAGCCTCTGATACCTTTTGTTACAGCACAGATTCTGTTCTAGAGGAAATAAGTTATGCTAATATTAAATCAATACTGAATCTATGAGCACTTTAGTTCTGATTTAGACTTAGTTTGGTTCTGGTCCAGTCCAGGTTTAGTTCTGGTGTAGTAAATGTAATATTAAATCAGTTTTAGACAAACCCAATGGAGAAAAAACACAATCATTTTTAAATATGTATTATAAATAATTCTTAGGATCAACTGTGACCTGTTAGTAACATCAGCAACATTGTTAAATTACATAAAGTGTACATGCAACTTGGATTTTGCAATGACGTGTTTCAAATGGGGGAGTGAAGTGAATGAGAAAAGGTGATATAAAGTGATCTGTGTCCATATCTATAGAGCTTATCCCAAAACAGAGACAGTGGTGACACAACAAACCAGCTGCTGCTCTTGTATTTACACAAAACACGACTCGCTGTGTTCTGGACAACACCTCATGTATAGGATCAGGCCCAACGTGAAAGTATGCATGTGGATCAAAATCAATATATTATCTATCTATAGTGTATGATGACATGATGTTGAAAAGCATCAGTTCTCATGTAAAATTACTGATACATTTTTGGAAGAATATATTTTTCATTTAATAATCTACAGTGTTTGCATCCTTATTTTATCTGCCTTTATATTTATGTTCCGATCAGTCTAAGCTGCTTTAGAGCAAGAAGGTTTCATCAGTGATCCAGAAGCCATTTTCAGTTGATCTACACTTTTTATTGCTTTAGAAACAATAAAACAATAATAATATAGTAAAAAAAAATAAAAATAAAATAAATCATAGTAACTAATTGCAACGATATGTTGCCATAGTATTGTCTGGTAAGGATGAAGATGAATACAAATATGAATCATAATGAATAAATAAAATAAATAAGTAAAAGGTACTCAAAATTATTGACTATTGAGTTTTTTGTATGTGAGGTGAAAAGTTGTACTGTCACTTACAAACGTGTCATTGACTTGACAAGAGAAGTAACAAAAGTAACACATGCTTTTAAAACTGTCAACTGAGCATTTTACATCTCAGTCTAGTTCATATTTCAGTCTTCTCTCAAATATTAAGGCTTCTGGACATGTTAAAATGTGAATTGAAACAGAAATTGCAAATTTCATCACAATTGCAATGCATGTCAGACAAATCACAGAATTTCCATGTGTATTGATATTAGTGTTGTTATTTAGACAATAGAATGTGATTTTCAAACATTAAATCATAGTACTTTATTTTATATCACCATATGGTCTTATATTTGTGTAATCCCTCAGTCATCCAGGTAGGTTCCATAGTGTTTCATGCATGTATACTAGTCTATGTGCTCTTATACTTGTTCTGATAGAGCTCAAGATCATTCTAATGCTGTTCAGGAAAACTTCATTTCTGTCCTGTGATAGTGTCTTTTTTGTATCGATACCTGCTCAAATCAGTATCTAGTTTCAATATTAGTTTTTGTACTGTTTAGAATAAGATTTTTGATACTTTTGACAAACCTAATTCACATATACATATTTTCTCCATGTGTACATTCACTGTTAGTAGCAGTAGTGCAGTGGTCCCTTGCGGTGTGCCTGTGTGCGCTCTATGACTGATTGAATGTGACAGAGAGGGAGCAGAGCTGAGCTGTCTGCCCCTGACCCTGGCATCATCCCTGCCTGTCAAACACACACACACGTACATGGTCATCTATACAACACAATGACACATGAGGAAGGCCGTAGATACACTGCTCTATAATATATAACAAGAATGAATAAGAGGATTTAATTGGGACAGATAGGTCATGGGCGCTCTTGTCTCTAGTTCACATATGGCTAAATACAAAATAAGTAATCCCAAATGGAAATAACAATTTGAATGGTCACAATTTGCAAATCATTAGGCTGGAGTTAGTTAGAGGTTCTATATTACACAAAATCTAGCTACATTATAATGCTGTTACTTCATCTAAACATGCAGTCGTGATTTGACCTTTATTATTAGTCTGTCTACATCTCCAAAGCTCAAAACAGGGG